AGAGCGGAGGGGAACTGAGCTGGAAAGAAAAGGAGCGAATTAAACTCTAAAAGGAGCCCTTGGGGTTGAGGCGTGGGAGGGGCGGTTGATTTCCTTAGAGCTAGAACCCAGAGCCCTGCAAAGATCATTAATCAGGAACAGAGAGATTTAGGAGCCGGGCTCATTCGTTCTAAAATTTGATGAAACAGACCATTATCCAACGGTTGTCAAAACTGACGCAGGAAGAGGTAGAAACCCTCAACAAAGGAAGAGGCGTCTGTTAAAGGGCAGTGTTCAAAGCTGGTTTCAGAATGATTCTTAAATCCCCAAACCCAGAGTTTTTGAAGGCAAATCATGCCAACATGCAAAGGATCTATTCCCCGCCCCCCTCCCCCCAACACACACACCCATGAGACTATCCTAGACTACAATGGAGACACAAAAAAATTTTTAACAGTACCGCAGTGCTTTAAAAAAAACAAACAAACCAAGCAGGGTCACCCAGCAGACTTAGGAACAAGCCCACCCCTGGGGAGAGATTGAGCAGTTAGAGACTTCACAGACAGACACAGCAAAGAAGTGGGGCTCACCTTGAAAAACCACCTGCCGAAGAGCCTTTGGAGCAGACGGGTGCCCCAGAAGACATGCCTGTAGAGGTCGGTGTCGACCACGCCAGGGTCCACCACGTTGGCCGTCACGTGGCTGCCCGCGGCGGCCAGCAGGCGCTGGAGGTGGTAGCTGAAGAGGACGAGGGCCAGTTTGCTCCGCGCGTACGCACCGTGGGATGAGTACCACCTGCTGCAGAGACACGGGAGACGGCGTGAGACAGCGTGGGAGACGGCGTTCGAGCCCGGAGCCCCACCGCCTTCAGGGTTCTCATCACGCGCTGCTGTCTACACCCCTCTCCTTGTGCCGGGGTGATTCTGCAAGAACTTTTCCCCCCTATTCCTTAGTATTTGGGGATTTTCAAGGTTATTTTTTTTAAAGAATTATTTTATTTAACTATTATTTATTCATTTTAATTTTGCCCAGAGAAAGTGAGAAAGCAAGCCACCAGGTCCAGGACTCCAACCACAGTCAGCCACATGGGAGTCCAATGCCCCTAGCCACTACGCCACCTGCTGGTCTTCCTAAAAGAACATGGAAAGTTTTAAATTCTTGCCCATATGGTGCGTGCACTCGCAGGCAGAAACAGTGAGAGGAAAATGAGAAATCACCCCTCAGGGAAGGTGGCCACGCTGCAATCCCTTCTCCTCCATTCTCCCCTGGGGGTTTTGGGCACACATGCAAATGCACCCAGCAAGACTGTCAAGCCATCACATCGGAATTGTATCGCGGTCAGCCATGTAAGAGTCCAGCACCTTAACCATCATGTTGCCCGATGACCCTTTAAGCTTATTTTTAAAAATTATTTGTTCATTTATTTCATTTTATCAATTAATTCATATTTTAGAGAGTTTTTTTTTTTTTAATATAGGGCATCTGCACTCACCAGAAAGAGACAGAGACAGAGAGAGGAATAGAAAATGAGAAACCACTCTCCAGGGGGGATGGCCATGCTGCAATCCCCTCTCCTCCATTCTCCTGTTGGGATTTTGGACACGCATGTGCACACGCCCTGCTGGATTTTCAGGATCTTGTGCGCTCATGCACAAGTACCCGCTGTGTTGACTGAGGCCAACCCCGGGACCCAAGCCCCCGGTCAGCCATGCTGTGCCACTGTGTGTCCCCATCCAGATTCAAGACTTCATTGTACTGGGGGACTTGGACCAGGTGGCCCACCCTTTGAAGTCAGTCGGTGTGTCCTTTACAGCCTCGGGGATAATTTCTAGGTGTCCATGTAGCATTTCTGCTTGGAAAACACTTTATCTCCCTTGGGGCCAGTAGACGGCATGGTGGTTAAGGCACTGGACTCCCACTGGCCGACCAAGGTTCGAATCCAAGACCTAGAGGCTCGCTTTCTCATTTTCTGTCTGTTTTTCTCTCTCGTCAAATTCTAAAAACCATAATAAATAAAAATTTTAAAAGTAATTATTTTTAAAAAATGCACATTGAGGTCAGCAGGTGGCATGGTGGTTAGGGGTGCTGGTCTCCCACATGACCGACCGCAGTTGGAGTCCCAGTTCTGGTGGCTGGCTTTGTCACACTCTCTCTCTCTCTTCCACTCTGTCCCTCTCTGGCGAAATTAAATACATACATACATACATAAGTGGTTAAATAAAGTAATTCCTTTAAAATAAAACGTGCATCTCCCCGTCTCGGGAAATGCAGTGCTGTGGGCGCCGTAGTGAGTCTACGCACACTGGACGCGCTGCTCAGATCCCCTGCACGCTGCTCGGATCCCCTGCACGCTGCTCATTTGTTTCCTCCTTTACGTAACAACGCCTGGGAAAACACGTGGGCCCCTCTCTCTGACGGCAGGACTCCCGGCCAGTTGATGTTGCGTCGTAGAGACTGGGACGATCCACAGTCTTGGCAGAGAGAAGACGTCTACAGGTAAGAGCGCCCACCAGCCTGTTGACCTTGCCTCTAGATGAGACTATTTAACTAGATATATATATAGAGAGAGAGACAGGACTTGCAAAAAGTCCACAGAACACGTGCGCTGGGACAAACTACCCCTGGGGGCCAGGTGGCGGCGTGGAAATGAAGGCAGCTGGATCCCATGTGGTGAGTACCTGGTTCAAGCCCCAGATCCGGCCGTTGGAAAAACACGTCAAGTGCATGTGTGTACGTGCATGCCCCAAATCCCAAGAGCCAAACGGAGGAGAAGGGGTTGGGAATGGGTCATCCTTCCTGCGGGGTGCTTTTCTAACTTTCCCTCTCTGTCTCGCTCTGTCTAGCACACATGCCCTATAGCAAATGAAAATAAATACATGAACTTTTTTTTTTTTTAAAGGTTTGTGACAGGTGTGAGCACTTACCAGGGAAACACAGAGAGAGAGAGAGAGAGAGAGAGACAGAGGGAGTGAGATGTCACCCCCTGGGGGGATGGCCATTCTGCAATCCTTTCTCCTCCATTCTCCTCTCGGGATTTTGGGCACACACACAAAAATGCCCAGCGTGATTCTCAAGGCTGTGGGGTTGGGACTCGAACCACAAAGGTGACCATGTTGGATCAAGCACCTTAATGTCCACACCAGCTGCTGCTCCCATAAATAAACCAAACGTAAAGAGCTGATATACATTATATCATTGAGAAATAGAGGCTTTTTATTTATTTTATTTTTTTTTTTGTAATCCCCATGAAAGAGTTCATAGAAAATGCATTATAGTGGGGGGAAAAGTTCATGATTGGACACATTTTTATGGCCCAAATCCACATGCTCTCCCGCTGTCTCCCATCCAAGATCTTTGTAACGTGCCCTGTATTTTACAGAGCTGGGAGGAGTGAGGACAAAGGCATTGAGAGCCTCTGAGCTCAGCTCCCTCCCCGCTCCCCACCCCACAATTACTGTCAAGGCTCCCTTTTTAGGCACATTCCTCCAGGGGAGGTCACAGGAGGGGAGGGGAGGCTTCCAGGAAATAGGGAGTTATTAAGAGGAGGGAACACAGGCTGAGTCTCCCCCAGGCGCCAGGGCCCCTTAAATATCATGCAGAATCTTTGGTCCTGTGCCACCAGGCGAGGAATCGCTACTTCACAAACCAGAGAGGGAACAGAAAAGCCTGAACATTTCTCATGAGCTCACTAATAGGATACTGGATTTTTTAAAAAAAAGGAATGATGTATTTAATTTTATTTATTAGTATTATGATTACTTTTCAGAGAGTTATTTTATTTCATTTTATTCATTGTTACTACTATTTTAATTTGACCAGAGAGATAGAGACAGAGAAAGAGAGAGAAACTGAGAGAGCAAGCCGCCAGGTCTGGGACTCGAACCACAGTCGGCCATGTGGGAGTCTGGCGCCCTTAACTACCACGCCACCTGCTGGCCCCATTCTTATTTTTATTTTTTTTAATTTGATCAGAGAGAGAGAGACATAAGAAAGTGAGAGAGTAAGCTGCCAGGTCCAGGACTCAGACTGTGGTCAGCCACGTGGGAGGTCAGCACCTTCCCCACCATGCCACCTGCTGACCCCGCAGGAGATGATTATGTTTTCTCAGAGACTAAAGACAAGCCCATTAACATTCCTTTAAATGCCATGTGTGGGAGGGGGAAGTCAATGCATCTAGAGAAGGAAAACAAAAAAAGCAAGAAGGTCAGTTCAGGAGAGAGGGCCTGGCACATTTAGGAATAATGACATACCCACAGCAGAAAGGAGAAGGGGGCAGCAGGTGCTGTGGTGGTTAAGGCACTGGACTCTCATGTGGACAACTGCCGTTCGGGTCCTGGACCCAGTGGCTTGAATACGATGCCGGGCACACGTGCGTGCTGCCCAAAACCCCGAGAAGAAAGTGGAAGAGAAAGGATTGCGGTGTGGCTATTTCCCCTGGGGTGGGCGAGGGGATTTCTCACTTTCCATCTTTCTCTCTGCCTCTCTGTCTCTGTTTCGTGCTATCCATCTGGCAAGTGCTTATCTGTAAAAATTCCAGAAAAGGAAAAAGAAAAGAAAAGAAAAGAAAAAAGAAAAGAAAAGAGAAAAGAAAAAAAGAAAGGAAAAGAAAAGAAAAGAAAAAAAAGAAAAGAAAAGAGAAGAAAAAGAATGAGTATTGCCCTCCCTCAGATTATTTTCCAAATTGGTTTCCTGCCTGCAGTTTGAAGGACTGTTCAAACAGGGGGTATTTGTCTCCAACGTCGTGCTGTAACAAACCGTTACAAACTCGGCTCGAGTCACGGGCATGGCAGACAGAGCATCTCACCTCTTCTCTCACCTCACCCGCCATGACCAACTAGAAAATGCCCACCGTGGCGGAATAATTCTTTAAAATATATTTTTTTAAGTTTATTTATGCATCTCATGAAAATCAGAGAGTAACCTGCTGTCCCATCACCTGGCCCTAAAAATAATCCTGCCTGATATACTGTAGAGCTTTTTTACCCCGTCCTCAAGAAAAAACCTAATCTTCATTGATTTATTTATTTAGTATTTTCAGGTTTTTTTTTTTGTTGTTGTTGTTGTGTTTGCTATGCTTTCAGGTTTTTTTTTTGTTGTTGTTGTTGTGTTTGCCATGGGGCATATGCACTCACTAGAGAGAGACAGAGAGCGAGAAAGTGAGAGGTCACCCCACAGGGGGATGACCACCCACAATCCCTTCTCCTCCTTGGGATCTGGGGCACACACACCCAGCCAAGTCCGGGACTCGAACAGCAGTCCACCATGTGGGAGTCCAGCACCGCATCCACTATGCCACCCTGCTGGCCCGTAACGTAATGTTTCCACGAAGCTGTCCACTTCTTTGAGATTTATTTCCATGAAGTACAAACAATTTTCGACATATCCTACCTACCTGTGGTCTTAGGGATTTATTCTACCTGGGGTCTGTTCCGGGGCAGCGTAGGGGCAGAGACATTTCGGCTGGATGTAGGGACCCCTCTGCCCATGACAACTTAAGCCTATCCAAGAATGCTAATTTGCCAAGGCAGCAGATTCACCCTGGCGATGACCAGCTCCCGGTGGCGTCTGCGGCAGGGGCACGCCGAGATCCCACCCCTTCACACAGAAGGAACACTGGGCTCTCAGAGCAAACGGTTGGCAAATGTCAGGAACCCCCGGGATGGCTTAAGAGGACGCAGATGGCCTGGCCCACACGCAGATCCGGGCTGGACAGCCCTGGAGTGTAGAGGGGACACTAGTGTTTCCAGTTTTTTTTTATTTTCCTTTTTGTTTCGGTTGTCATAGGGAATGTGTGCTTGCCAGAGAGAGAGGAGAGAGAGAGAGAGAGAGAGAGAGAGAGAGCCATGGAGGGCTGGTTTGCTCGCGAGTGAAATAATACCAGGCCATATGTAAGATGAGGGTTTGATTCCCGGGGCACTTGCACATACATGTGCTTGCATGATCCGGGCTAGAAAGCCTGGTGGGGAAGACCGTGGCATGGATGCTGATGTGGGTATCTCTGGGGCTCTCACCCTCACGGAAAAAATAAATGCAACTTAAAAAGAAAGAAAGCAAGCCTAATTGGAAACCGTGTGCGCTGTCACCAAAGGAAACTCCGCAGAGACCCGGGACACGGCGTCTCCCTAATGACAGGAGAGGTTGTTCTCTGCAGGGGAGTACGCAGGCTTGAACCCAAAGTGGCTCCGGTAACTGCTGCCTCAGTGTGCATTCCACACGAGCAAGCGGGGACCCCAGAGGAAGGCAGGCGAGGGCTGAACCTGGAACTGCAGCTGCTAAAAAGACAGGGGGGAGCCCTAAACCCTGGGACCTGGGGAGGGGACGGAATGTGGAAATGGGATTTCTGCATAAGCCATAGGTTAAGGTGGGCTCTTCCTAGGGTAGGGGGACCCTGAACGCCATGAGCAGGGTCCCTGTGAGAGACAGAGAAGGAGACGCAGACACAGAGGAGGAGCCACGTGAAGATGGAGGCAGAGACGGGAGTGATGTGGCCACAACCCAAGGGGTACCTGGAGCTTCCAGGAGCTGGGAGAGGAGGAAGGAGCCTCCCCTGGGCCCCAGGAGCTGGGAGAGGAGGAAGGAGCCTCCCCTGGGCCCCAGGAGCTGGGAGAGGAGGAAGGAGCCTCCCCTGGGCCCCAGGAGCTGGGAGAGGAGGAAGGAGCCTCCCCTGGGCCCCAGGAGCTGGGAGAGGAGGAAGGAGCCTCCCCTGGGCCCCAGGAGCTGGGAGAGGAGGAAGGAGCCTCCCCTGGGCCCCAGGAGCTGGGAGAGGAGGAAGGAGCCTCCCCTGGGCCCCAGGAGCTGGGAGAGGAGGAAGGAGCCTCCCCTGGGCCCCAGGAGCTGGGAGAGGAGGAAGGAGCCTCCCCTGGGCCCCAGGAGCTGGGAGAGGAGGAAGGAGCCTCCCCTGGGCCCCAGGAGCTGGGAGAGGAGGAAGGAGCCTCCCCTGGGCCCCAGGAGCTGGGAGAGGAGGAAGGAGCCTCCCCTGGGCCCCAGGAGCTGGGAGAGGAGGAAGGAGCCTCCCCTGGGCCCCAGGAGCTGGGAGAGGAGGAAGGAGCCTCCCCTGCAGCATCCAAAGGAAGTCTCCATGAGTAAAATGGATTGAGTGGTGATCCCCAAAAGCCACATGCAGGTCCTAACAACTCTGGAACCTGAGAACGGGGCCTTCCTTCGAAACGGGGCCTTTGCAGACATTATTAAGGGAAGGGTGTTGTCACGAGGTTCCCGGAGTAGGTGGCCCTCCGTGAGAAATGCCCGGGGTCCCCGTAGGAGACAGCAGAGGGGACACAGGCAGAGGCGGGGCCACGCGAAGAGGCAGGCAGAGCCCGGGCTGACACGGCCACGAGCCGCCCTTTCCCCACCTGCTCTGAAGGTCGTCCATGTCCAGCTCGCCGACGTAGTGGGTGGCCGAGGAGACGGTGACCACCCTCGCGCTGTGGCCTGGGGCCCCCGACTCTTTCAGCGTGTCCAGGAGAAGGTTGGTGAGCAGGAAGTGCCCCAGGTAGTTCAGGCCGAAATGCTCCTCGAAGCCATCCTCGGTTTTTCTCTGAGGGACCATCATGACGCCCGCTGGGGAGGAGACCATCGCAGGCCGAGGGAGGTTAGCGAGGGCGGAGGAGCAGGCCCCGGGGCAGGCGGAGTCCGCCTCCGTGTTCTCCTGGGCCTTGAACTTGGGAACGGACCACCAGTGACAGCGTGGTGGCACACACGGAAAGCACAGATATTCTGACCCACCAAGAGGAATTCCTGCCACGTCTGAGCGTGTTCCCCATTGTGGTGTCGAAATGTGATGAAGAGGTTGGAAACTTGCGGCAGTAGGAGCAGCAGGTGGCGTCATGGCTATGTCGCTGGACTCCCATGTAGTCGACCGCAGTTCGAGTCCCAGACCCGGTGACTTAAACTCACGCCGGGCGCGTGTGCGTGCGTGCCCAAGATCCCGAGAGGAGAATGGAGGAGAAGGGATTGTGGCGTGGCCATCCCTCCTGTGGGTGACTTCTCACTTTCTCTATCTCTGTCTGTCTCTCTCTGGCAAGTACGCGTGCCCATGTCATATGGCACGATTTTTTTTAAAGAGGTTTTTGCCTTAGGACACGTGTGCTCACCAGAGAGCGAGACAGACAGAGACAGAGCGAGGGAAAGCGAGAAATCACTCCTTAGGAGATGGCCATGCTGCAGTCCCTTCTCCTCCATTCTCCTCCTGCGATTTCTAGCGCACACACACACACACACACATACACACACACACACACACACACACACACGTGCCCAGTGCAATTTTCAAGGTGCCACGTCCAGGACTCAAACTGCAGTCAGCCATGCGGGAGCCCAGTCATGTAAGCAGTACACCATGAGCTGTCCCCATGGCAAAAATCTTAAACACCTAATACAAAATAAAATGGATTTTGCTCGTAACAAAAGCCAATCAGTAATAAAATGAAGCAGGAGGGAAAAATAGCACACCTATTTTTTTTTTTTAATTTTGCTATAGGGCATGTGCACTTGCCAGAGGAGACAGAGACAGAGAGAGAGACAGAGAGGAAGTGAGAAAGCAAACTTCCACATGAGGGTGACCACATCAGTCTCTCTCCTCCATTTCTCCCTCCTTTCAGGATACTGGGCATGCATGTACATGTGCCCGGTGTGTTTTTCAAGCCGCCGGGTCAGGGACTCGAACCATGCAGCCAGCCACGTGGGATCCAGCTGCCTGAACCACCACACCAGCTCACTGCCCATGGCCTGTTTAGGGCACAGAGTCAAGAGTTTCCCTGGGAACCCAGCTGTGCTGAAGCACGTCTCTTCTGTGAACGTGGGGGTTCACGTCTGCGTCGAAGTGAACCCCGCGCTCGGAGCAGTGTCACCCATACTCACCATTGTTGACCAGGACGTGGAGAGGGAGCTTCTTCCTCTTGAAACACTGGACGAACTGCCGGATGGACGTCATGGACGCTAGGTCACAGTATAGAAACTCCACTGTGAAAACACAAGCCAGCGGGTCAGCTCCTAAACGACCCACAGGGTAAGAGGACTCATTTCTTCTTTCCACAAAGTATTTATTTAATTCCATTTTTTATTTTTTATTTTTAAATTAGACCACAGAGAGACAGAGAAAGGGAAAATGAGAAAGCAAAGCCACCAGATCCAGGACTTGAACCGTGGTCGGTCATATGGGAATCTAGTGCCCTTAACCACCATGTCACCTGCCGGCCCCATGGCTAGGATAATTCTAAACAGGAAAACGTGTTTTCTTTTCTTTTCTTAAAGAATTATTTATTTATCTCATTTCATTTGTTACTATTATTTATTTTTTAATTTGACCAAAGAGAGGCAGAGAGAGACAGGAAGGGAAAGTGAGACAGCAAGCTGCCCGGTCCGGGACTCAAACCCCAGTGGGCCAGGTGGGAGTCCAGTGCCCCAACCACCACGCCACCCGCCAACCTCCAGGAAAACGTGCATCCCACTTGGAAGACAGGCGTTCAATTAGAAAAATGGTTTACGGGTCCGGCAGATGGTCTAGCAGTTATGTTGCTGGACTCCCACACGGCTGACTGTGTGGTTCAAATCCTGGACCCGGGGGCTTGAAACTTACGCCGGGCACGTGTGCGTGTGTGCGCGAGAGATCAGGAGGAGAACGGAGCAGGGATTACGGCACAGCCACCCCAGGGGGTGGGGGCGATTTCTCACTTTCTGTGTGTATGTGCCCCAAATCCCAAGAGGACAACAGAGAAAGGACTTCGCTCTGTCCATCTCCCCTGGGCAGTAATTCCTCACTTTCTGTCTCTCTGTCTCTGTCTCTCCAGCGAGCACACGCATCCTATAGCAAAAATCTCTCAATAAAAAAATTAATAATGAATATAATTAAATCAATATTTCTAAAAAAAAAAAAAAAACCAAAAAAACCAATGAAGCCACCATCTTATGAGAAATTTTTTCTATAGGGCAGAAGCGCTCGCCAGAGAGACAGAAAGCGAGAAATCACTCCCCAGGGGAATGGCCACATGGCAATCCCTTCTCCTCCATTCTCTTCTCTCTCTCTCTTGAGGACACGTGCTCTATAGCAAATTTAAAAATATATTAATAAGGAGGGCCAGCAGACAGTGTACTCGTTAAGAAGCTTGACTCCCATGTGGTTGACCATGGTTCGAGTCCCAGACTCAAAGACTTGAGATTCGGGCCAGGAATGTGTGCATGCGAGCCCAAGATCCCGAGAGGAGAATGGAGGAGAAGGGATTGCGGCGTGGCCATCCCCCCTGGGGGGTGATTTCTCGCTTTCT